CGCCCCTTTAGTTTATATCTCTACCGACTAGCGCTACTATATTGGCGCCGCTATGCAGCCAGCTAAAGCGAGCGAGCAGGTCACGGATATCGCCACATCACACAAAGTCGTAAAGCCGTTACAAGCGATTAAAAAAATGAATTTAAAAAATATGTTATACCGTTATTTTGATGCAGGCGGAGGGTTCTCTCCCCTTCTAGGGCGGACTCTTCGTACGGTAAATCGCAGCGAAGCAGACGTAGTTGTAAGTACATAGAGCGACGTCGGCATGGTCCAATAAAGGGGCCAACTGAAGAGACAAATCAGCCCACCCCTAAGGGAAGGACAACAACATCCATCGCAGATACGAAAACAAAAGACGAAACAGCTTGCCGCAGATCCTTCTGAACAGTTCTGCTGAAGAGCAACGACCTGGGGCCCAGGACACACAGAAGGGAGTCGTACGGAGGGGATGCAAATAGCCCTCTCGAGCGGGAAAACAAGTGAAAATAAAGGATGCTAGAGGGTGTTTCATCGAACACCTCACTGTTATAATGGTCGAGACTAGTGGGCGCGCGGCGTGGGCCGGGGCCGGCCGCTGGCAGGGCGCCCGCCAGGTAGGCGGTAGGCAGGCCCGCCGCGGACACGTGCAGAGCGGGCGGCCTACCCTACGATCCGCGGGCGCTCGACTGGGGAAATCCACCTGCGAACGGGTGTAAAATAATAAAAATAAAACAGGGTGCTTTAGGGTTATCCGGATGGCTATCCATGGAGGTATTCTGGGAGTAATCCAGAAGCAATCCGGATAATTTGGGTCTAATCCTTGACACACGAGATGTCAGAGTCGTTCCCCACCACTTTGTGACGGTTCGACCTCGCGAGGCCGCGGGGGCGCGGGGAGTCACTCACCCCAGCGTCTTGGTGGAGATGAGCGGCGTCTTGAGGGAGAGGAAGCCGTTGTTGCGCTGCTGCTTGACGGGCTCCTTGGCGGCCGCCTCCTCGTCCGCCTCGCGCTTCCGCCGGCGGCGCACCCACCACAGCGCGGCGGCGCCGGCGCCCAGCAGCAGCAGCAGCGCCACCAGGCCCAGCACGGCCAGCAGCACCACGTCGCGGCGCTCCATCGCCTGCAACATGCACATCAAGGGTCGTATAAGGTTTTACAGGAAAAACCAACCGAGATGTGTACCGTAAAGTCACAATTTAAACTTGTAGCAAAAAAAAAAAGAAAAGAAAAATACAAGAGCACTTCCCATTGGGATAGAACTTGTGGACGAGGAAGAATAGGCAATCGATAATTTACAACCCATTTTGTAAATCGGGAAAATTTTCAAAAATGCGTGTCATAAAATTAAAATTTGAAATTGTAATAAAAATACAAGCTGTACCTAGAGGGCGCGTCCTCGTTGAAAGGGGAGCTCTCTCCTTGGGCAAACAATACAGTATGAACACATGTATGTGTTTCGCTCGTTCCCGCACCTTCTCCCAACCTCCCAAACTCCACGAAGGCCTCCCTTACCTCGAG